GACTCTTTTAGAAGAAGAAAGAAAATACACGTGTTTATATCCCTCCCCGCTATGTGTCATTTCAACATGGCTAGCCATGCACTTTTTCAAAAATCATGTCGGTAAAGCAAGCACATGAACTAGAAAGATGGCACTTACTAGAAAAGTGGTGACAATTCAGGAGTAATTTACCGAACTTTGCCATGGACAGAAGTTCCGAGGCTCTGCAGCTGAGGGTGAGCGAAGGCGTCAGCAGCAGGGAGGATGCTTTTTCAAATCACCAGATCCAAACATCACAGATGCGCTGCTATTACACAGATAACGCGGGAGCTATATTGGAGTTTCAAATGACAGACAACGTTGGCATGTTGATAGAGTCTTTAACATAAAATATGTTTCTGATAGATGGCAGATAAGACGCACTCACAGATATGTTTTGGCTAATTATGTTACAAAATTAGTGGGCTGTATCTATATATTCTGTGATTGCTTAGCTCAGGTGAGCAAAGTAGCAGTCATAAAATAAAATCTATGACCCTGATTCTGTGGGGTCATAGATCACAGGTGATGTGTACACTGACCAGGCTGCAGTTTCTCAGAAACAAAAGAGGAAGGGACTGCTATTGTTTGGACTGAATTTACATTAATGCCAACCTTATTTAAAGATGTGACCTTCTGCTGTCACCAACAGAAGATAAAATGGATTATATTGTCTGGGAAGGAGGCTGCTTAAAGGGAGTCCATCACACCCCAAAGAATGCTGAGGTGGTCATTGAGTAGTTGTGTTGTCTTTGGAGGTGAAGATGGATTCATCTTTATTTGTGTAGACAAGGCGAGAGTGTCAGTTACCCAGTGGGCGTGAGAACAGGGAGCCGGCGCTGGAAGTTCAAGGATGCTCTTTCAGAATTGGTTCTTTAAATTATTGACTCTTTTCTGTGTTCTTTACTCTTAAGAGAAAATGGCTCAAGATGTGTGCTTAAATGAATCCCAAAACTAGCAATGCACTGAGAAATATGAGGAGAGTAGACGTCATTTCTTTTTCCTTTTTTCCCTTTTTATTTTTTTATCTTGAGTTGCCTGGTCTGGTTAGGCAAATGGTCTTGAACTTACCAAATGCCTGCATCTTTTGCTTTGCTCGAGGGTTTTAAATCAGGTTTTAAGTTTAGCAGGTATATTTTATTTTAATTTCTCACAACTTTTAGCAAACACTAGTTACCTGAAGCACAGTTTCCTCTTTTGCATACTAAGACGGGCCTAAACAGCCATGATATTCCTAAGCATAAACCCTAGTGTCCAAGGACCACATCTAAGTGCAACACTATGTTTAAGGGGATCCTTGATCTTTTTTTTTTACAAAGTCATATATGCTTAGAACTGGGGGGAAAAGTTTATACCTGATTTGATTTATAAATTACATCACAGGGCACAATATAATAACCTGGTGACTTAGAAGATTGATGTAGCTCACCAAGATGACTCCCTCTCAGGAAAATTTTGGATCATTATATTTTAGGCTCTGGGAGAAGAATAGCTGAAATATCAGAAGGGTAATTTGGAATAACTGGATAAAATAGCACAAGTGGGCAACATGTATTCAAGGACTTTTAAGTGAGAAAAATCACATGAATTCATTTACTCAAAGACAAACTACAGAGAGAGAGAGAGAGAGAGATGGATGAATGGATAGATAGATACATACATAGATTCGTAGGTATTAAGAAGACAATATATGTTCTAAATGGAAAAAGATAGTAACATTTTAAATGTCTGGGACACTGTGCCAACCATCGTGTCTTACATTATTTGTAGTCATCAAAATCGCTCAGTGAGTTGCATAATTTCATTGTCCCTTTACACGGGTCTCAGGGATGCGAAGTGATTTATCTGAGACCACACAGCTCAGACGAGGCAGAACTGGGATTCACGTTAGACTTACTGGCTCCAAAGCCTACTTTCTTGCAACTATACCACGTATCAGAGTTTTTGTGTTTTATTGAACGAAGAATAACTTTCACTGAACTTTTTGTGTTTTGTTTAATAGCTCACTATTTACGTCCAGCAAGAGCAAAAGCACACGGCTGAATATGCTGCAAACATAACTAAAATTGTGTTTGATTATTTTGAAGAATACTTTGCAATGGACTATTCTCTTCCTAAATTAGGTGAGAATCATTTTTTATTTTTTTATTTATAATATTGCCTTTGTTTTCACCTAAATTAATTCACTTCCTCCAATTATGTCACCATTAGTTGATGGTCCTCCCTATGTTCTTTTATTATATGCCTACAATATGTGTCTACTGCTTACTCGGTGCTGAGAGATCCATTCTGGATTCCTTCAAGAATAATATCTATACTCTGTTCTTATCTGATAAACATATGGTCTTTTATTTCCACATGAAGATGAAAGCATTGTGCATCAAACTGCAGATCTTGATAATGATGCAGCCAGGAATAGCAACCTATATCAGCTGATTTTAAAATCAGTACCCAAACCGATAGCTTACATTTCCTCCCTATCATCAATGAGTTGGAAAATAATAGAGATAAATTTTGCTGTAAGAGTCCTATGTGCTTCCCATCTTTCCACTGTTGGACAAGACAAATTGTAGAATACGAAGTAGTTAAAGTGAAACACTGGTGTTCCTTCCAGAAATACTTTTTTCTAATATAAGGGGAAGCATGCTTTCTTTTTAAAATAAAAGTGGGGCCGGGCGCGATGGCTGACGCCTGTAATCCTAGCACTCTGGGAGGCCGAGGCGGGTGGATCACTCAAGTCCAGGAGTTCGAGACCAGCCTGAGCAAGAGCGAGACCCCTTCTCTACTAGAAAATAGAAAGAAATGATCTGGACAGCTATATATATATATATAAAATTAGCCAGGCATGGTGGCACATACCTGTAGTCCCAGCTACTCGGGAGGCTGAGGCAGGAGGATCGCTTGAGCCCAGGAGTTTGAGGTTGCTGTGAGCTAGGCTGACGCCACGGCACTCTAGCCCAGGCAACAGAGCAAGACTCTGTCTCAAAAAAAAAAAAAAAAAAAAAAGAATAAAACAAAAGCGGGCCTATACTCAAAACAGGGTGGATACGACACTTCTATCAATAACAGAAATGCTTTATTAATAAGCTTGAGTGCTATTAGCAAAGACTTTAAAGAAAAGACCCATATAGATGTTTGTAAGGATGAAATGAAGGCAGTAAGAAAACAAACAACCAACAAACAGAGCTCGCTCCCCCGTTTCTGTTTCTACCCTTCACTTTAACAAGTTATCAAAGCAACTGCAGTGCAAGATTCTCTGCATGGGAACGGCTGTGGCTCTGAGCGAGTTTGTAGATGCTACATTTTCTCTTCAGTGGAAACAGTTCCATTTTTGGTTGCTTAACAACTATAGAGAAGGAGACAGAGAGAAACAAATTTTCATCAAACTCAGAATAATATTTAATAAAGTATTAAGCACATAAATGTAAAGGTTGTTTCTCTTTATCTCACTTGTATCACCCAGGATAACCTGGGAAGTAGAAATCTCACAAATCTATTTCTTTCTTCTCTTTTTCTTCCTCCTCTCCAACTCCTTCTTCATACTCTTTTATGTGCATTTTCAACCCTTTCAGAATTAACTCTTAGACTCCTTAGAAATGACTTCTGCATTTATTATACTCTAAAAAAATTAAATGTACTGCAGTTAATTAATTACTAATATAATGACAATACTTTCCAGAGAAATGAGATTACGAAAAATTTCTTTTGCTCCAGGATTAGGTGCAAACTACACTCCACGACATTATGAAAAATAGTGACCCCTGGGGGAGACACTTCTCTACCCTTTAAGTGATATTCTTGTGATAAAATAACCAAACCTAAAAATGAAGATAACATGAAAAGGAGACTACTATTATCATCTTGACCTCTACTTAAGATAAATCTCTTTTCATTCTTTTATAAAAAGCTACAGAATCTTTTAACCAGAAATAAAGGGCCTTTTCTTATATATTAAATGAAAATTCAATTTATTTTCAGTACTGTGCCTCATTTAAGTTATGTGTAATAATAAAGAAATTGCATTCTGATTATAGTTCATTAGGCAGAGAAGCTGTATTTTGCCCACTCATCAACTGAACATAGAAATGACCAACACTGGCTCCTCCTGTCAGATATTATAGCTAAGATTCCAGGCCCCAGCAAGAATAAAGAATAGATAGAAACTCCTCATAGAATCCAATATTTTAGAACTGGAAGGGAATTTAGAGAGAATACGGCCAATTCCATGTTTCTCCAGCTTATTTAATACATATAAGAGGATGGTAAGCTATCAGAGTGCTAGGGAATCACATCGACCTCAAACTGTACAGAATCAGAGAAAAAATATGGAGTTTTATGTTCTCTAGTATTGTGTATCCTTGGATGGAAATATGTTTCTGTGCACTTAGAAGCTTTGCATTTCTAAGTCCTCATTTGGAACCTTCATTCTCTTTTTCCTTACAACTTATCTCCCCAAACAGATGCTATCTATGACCTACATGAAAATCATGGGGGAAAAGCTAATAAAAATGAGTACAGTGAGGGACAAAGGACATAAAATTGTAGAGGCCTTGAAAAGAGCATGGCCTTACGTGTCCTTCCTAAAAAAACAAACAAAAAGAGATACATGGGTATCTGGAGCCAACAGGAAAAGCTCCCTGGAAATCTTGAGTGCATTAGGACTGAAATGTTTGCACAAATGATTACTGTGTTTCACTCTAAAAAAAACTATTTTTAGCCTTTTAAAAAACATTCATCCAAAGAACTTAATTTGGTATGAAATGCTGTGAACAAATGGAAAGAATGTATTTCTCCCTGGACTCTCTCTTTTTCCATAGATCAAATTGCTATTCCGGATTTTGGCACCGGTGCTATGGAGAACTGGGGACTCATCACTTACAGAGAAACAAACCTGCTTTACGACCCTGAGGAATCGGCCTCCTCAAACCAGCAGAGGGTGGCCTCCGTGGTTGCCCATGAACTTGTGCATCAGGTATAGGATCTTAGCATCAAATCAGCTTGTTTTTTAAAGTGGCTTAAGACCACAGGAATAATTCAAATTATTTATGACTTAGCAAAGAAAAATAGTCAACTCAAGAGAAAAAAAAAAGCTTGCTTGACAGTCTTTCTCAGTGCTAATAGACATTTAACCATAAAGAAACTTTACAATACATTGTTTTGCCCTTAGGAAATACACAGGAGGCCTTCTTATAGATTTATATATTCCCAGTAATACCTAAATAAAGGCAATAAACTAAGGAGAATTTAATATAATTCAAAAATCAGGATAAAGCAGGAAATAAATGTGATGCCTGCCACTTCTGTGTCACAGTGATGACATTTACGTAGACAAATAGATGTTCTGAACATTTCCAGGCCTCTCTGCCGTAAGCATGAGAATTTAATTATCCCTTCATTGCCTGTAATTCCAGTGGTTTGGAAATACCGTGACCATGGACTGGTGGGACGACTTGTGGCTCAACGAAGGATTTGCTTCTTTCTTCGAGTTCCTTGGAGTAGACCACGCAGAAAAGGACTGGCAAATGGTGAGCCCTAAGCACATGAGCCCCAGTCTCGACTTTGCTCAGGCAAAGCCTTGCACGATGGCCGTGGTCCCAGGCAGGGGCCTAGTAGAGAGGTTAACTGGGAATTCCACTGTGAGAACGGCGTGGAACCAACTGACTCCCACTGACCTACACCTTGCTGAGACCTTTGCCCAGTCCCTAGAGGACAACTGACCACCACAGTCTGGGGATATCCTTGGCAGAGTCACTCGAAAACCCACGTCACGGCAGGAAGAACATTAAGTAGCGTTGAACATGTTCACTCTGTGTTCAGGAAAGTATCCATGGCACTAACCCTTTGAAAAATGTCCAAGTCTCGTTTTGTGAACTACTTACCTTAGAAAGATTGCTGAAATCGTGTTGGGGCAGTGATAAGAGCATCTTAGTAGTTAAGACTCAAGTTCAAATCTTGGAGACATCATTTCTTAGATGCATGGCAGGGAATGTAACCTTGAGCAAGTTACATGACCTCTCTGAGTCAGTTTTCTCCTCTGTGAAATAAGAACATTATTCTCTAACTTGTCAGCTTAAAAGCTCCCAAATGTTCATATAGTGACTATTAACATACGGTGTGCCTCTGAGGGGCCTAGAATAGAAACTTTTATGAAACTTACAATTTTTTTTTCGGAAAAGCTAGGTATACTTGCTATTTATATTTAGGTCATGTAAGTGCTCTTGACTGATTGTATGGATGTATAAGCATGCAGACGCGTGAAAGCAGAGAATTGCAAGAGGTCGTGTACTATGTAAAATATCGCCCTCTACTGGACAGAATACAAAACGTTAAATGCTTGACGCTCTTGCAGTCTCCCTAGCCCACTTTAAAAAGTGAAAAAGCTAATTTGCAACAATTACTTCTTTAAAAATTTTACCTAAACCAGGGTTTCCCAACCATGGAACTACTGACATTTTGGGCCAGATCATTTTTTGCTGTGGCAGGCTGCCCTGCGTCCCAGGCCTCTGTCTCCTAAATGTCGGTAACCGCTGGCCCAGTTGTGAAAACCAAAAATGTCCCCATGTATTTCCAAATGTCCCCTTGGGGACAATAATATCCCCAGTTCAGAAACATTCATTGCTGATTTTATAATTTATTGAAAATAAACTATATAAATGGAAAATTATTTTGTCCTTTATTTTCTCTCTTAAAGTAACCTGATGCCCTTCTGTATCAAACTGTTCTAAGAAATTATAATATGTTAATATTGTCTAATATGCCAATTTCAGTGTCTCCAAAGCACTAGTAAAATACCAGAAGAATTTGGTATGCACTTCTTACATGAAATTTAATCACATGGTCCAACACAATAATTCATTCGTTTCTTCATCCATCCATTCATTCTGCATTCAGTAAACACTAGAGAGGACCCAAAAATGAAAAATTCATAAAACACATTTCTTGCCTTTAAGGAGTTCCCAATTTAAGTTCTTGTGGATGGAGGGGTCTGATAAAAAAAGATATTTTAGAAGAGAGCTTTATAAGTACCACAATAGTGGACCCTCATTTCACAGGTGAAAAGTCTGAGGGCCAGGAAGGTAATAAAACTTTCCAACATCACACAGACAGATGGTAGCAAAATTAAGATTACAGTCAAATTTCCTGATACCGAGAACAGGACTCTTTCTACTTACCTAAACTTCTTTGGTGTACAAAAATAAAAATCCAAGTCGGAATTATCTTGACTGGCAGGCATCACTGGACAATAGTATATTGCCTGTCATATATGAAAACCACAAAATTAGAAAATGTGAGCTGACATAACACGGTCCTCTTTTGGAAATATTTTTAACTAAGTGGGACCGATATAGTTTTTAATTTTTTTAAATTAGTGGTGATTTAACAGAAGTTAGATTTCAGTATCTTATGCTTAAGAATCAAAATAATAGTAGCAGCTAATGTGTTAGGTTTTCACTCCTTGGGAGGTACTATGCTAAGTGCGTAGCATGACTTATATCATTGGACCCTGTGCACTATTTCAAAAACTAGATGTCATCATTACCTCTATTTAACAGGTGAGCGGCTTATTTAAATTTACATATCTATTCTGTAATAGATACCTGTATCTAATAGAAAGTGGGAAGACTGAGCTTTGAACCAAGGAAGTCTGACTATACTGCTAGGCCTGTCTACCACTCTATATGCTGAGAAAACTTAGGAGTGAAATGAGAAGTGATTATTAGAACTAAAGAATCAGCTAGTATTTTCTTTGATTAATTACGAATCAGACAAATTCAAATAACAAGTTGATGCAAAATAAAAATTGAACATCAATATTTGGCCAATAGACATGCAATAACATCACCTAATTCTCAGAACAAATCTGTGAGGTGATGTTATCATCCCTGTCGCACGGATAGGGAAACGGAGCTTGAAAAGTTTGGCACGTAACCAAAAGTCACACAGAAGTAGCAGAAACAGAACTCACAGATATGTGTGTCTTTCCCCTATAGGACTGGGGAAAACATCAAAGGAGTTATAAATAGAAGGAAGAGTAGATAATCAATATAGATCAGTGGTGTGAAATACGATTAATTTGAAGACCTAATGTTAAAGTAATTTGAGTCATTTATATTTATTTTCCTCCAATTTTTCTTATATAAGGCATTTTAAAATAGAAACCAGTATAAAGGAATTACTATATTTCTGTCATTCTGTCATTTCAGCGTGAACAGATATTACACGAAGATGTATTATCTGTACAAGAAGATGATGCTTTAATGTCTTCACATCCAGTCGTTGTCACGGTGACAACCCCTGCCGAAATAACGTCTGTTTTTGATGGAATATCCTACAGCAAGGTGGGGGATATATGACATCGTTTTGAGTATCTTCCTGTTGAGTGACTTTTCTTTTTGTAGGTGCATAAAAATGGTAAGAATGGTTCCACTATGCCAATGGGCTTGGAAAACATTGTAGAACTTATTCTGAGTGCTGAGTACTCAATGGTTCATACTTTTCAGTGGAACTGATCAATGCTAGTCATTGCCACAGATTTTGAAAAGGATTTTAAAAAATTTCTCTTTTCACTTTTGTTTATGACTATTTTCATTCTGACAATTGAACATTTAGACTTTAAGCATCAAATTTTAAATCGTTTTATTTGATTTTTTTTTGAGACAGAGTCTCACTCCGTCGCCCGGGCTAGAGTGCCGTGGCATCAGCCTAGCTCACAGCAACCTCAAACTCCTGGGCTC